AGAGCCTGTCTCAAGGTATCCATCTATTTGATGAAAGGCCGGTTCAAATTCAAATTCCTGCCCGCCTTTTCAATTTCCGGTATTTTCAGGCCTTGCTCATGCAGTTTAACAACTAACGACCGCCTGACTTCAGTCGCTGTTTTCTCCGCTTGTGCTCAAACGACAGAGTCAAATACAGTATTGGATTAAACAGCAGAAACCCACGATTCCAACGAGTCCCATTTGAACTACGTGAGTCAAGTATTTAGGGCAAGAGAAGAGGGGCTTTGAAATATTCTTACACTTGACCTGGACCACTGTGTATATATGTATATATATAATGTTGAGAACCCTATGTTTAATAAAGAACGGCTTTTCAAGCGATTACCTGGTAGGGCAGTGGCCTGCTTCCCACCAAGGCGCATAGATAGTGAAAAGGAAATAGATTGCCTAGATTGGTTTGGATGGAACAGGCACTATTTCCTTTTCACTATATATATATATATACAGGAAAGTGAAGCATAAAGACACGAAGGCCATAAAGCATCTTCTACTTTGCCACTGCCAAAATAAGCAAGAAGAAAATGAAAGAGTTTAGCTGAAAGGTTGTTGATTCAAGTAAAACCACAGCTTAATTCATTCTCAAAATCACCACAAATGCACACTCTATTAGCAAGTGAAAAGCTCATGCTGCAAGAAGGCAACCAGCGCAAAGTGTCCCGTGAAAAAGGAATCGACGATGACAGCTATGAAGAAATTCGACTCTAACGGGATCCGTGCCCGAAAGTTCTATCCACGATCCATGGCTAGATGAGGAAAGAGTGGAGAAGGAAAAATAACAATAAAACTGGGAGAATTCACTGGGTAAATTGAATCATGTGTCGAAATCTGTCGAATCCAAGTGCTCTCTCTCTGGCCCAAACAGCATGTTTATGTTAATTTTACGTAAAAGGAATGTAAATTTTGTCCGGGAGGAGGAGTAGATGCTAAAAGGAGCTCTCATCCTTTTAGGATAGAGAAGATGTAGTACTTCTGGGATTGGGATTATAATCTTCCCTAACCCCTACGATCGGTGTCGGCGGCGATCGTCTGCTTCCGAATTTGCTCGGAGAGACAGACCAAGCTTCCCCAGGTAACATGGGATCATCCCTGGAACATCCCATTTGGATCCTACGTGGGACAAAATGACATCCCATGGATGTCAAAATGAAATCGTCCCGGGATATGGAAATCCCTGGAGCATTCAGAGGATATCCCGTAAGGTTAGAAATACTCTCGTCTCATCCACATTCCACAACGGACGTCCTATGCACATACTAAGGATTTTGCCTATGGGACGAGAGTATTTCTAACTTTACGGGATGTCCTGTGAATGCTCCAGGGATTTCCATATCCCGGGACGATTTCATTATGACATCCATGGGATGTCATTTTGTCCCACGTGGGATCCAAATGGGATGTCCCAGGGATGATCCCTTGCTACCTGGGTCTTTTTCATTGTGTCTCTGATGGTTCCGTCAGACACCTGGGGCTCACCTGGAAGCTTCATATTCATTCGTTTCTTGGATGGATGACACGGGTTCATCTCGAATGAGAATCTTGATGGAGTCTCATCATCTGCTTTGCTAACGATCCCATCATTTCCTAAGGATGAAAAATAAATCGAACGTTAATATGACGGAAGCAGGAAATGGGAGACGACGAGCGACTCACGTCGCATTTCGAACTCCTGTTCTTTGGGACTTTCGCCACCACTCTTGGGCTGTTGACTTCTTTACTTGCAAAACTTGATGAACCTGACGAGCTGACAAACCAAAATTTCCATTCAGTCTTGCACTAATGGACAAGCTCCTCTTCGCATCTCTCTCTCGCAGTTGCGCCATTGTCAAGGAATCGAGAATGGAATCGAAACTGGCATGTGCTTACAGACGCCAGACAAAAAAGAAACCGAACGCTCCTAGACGGGTCCGAAGGTCGACCGCCGAAGCTGTTCTGCTCTCCCTTGGCTCGTCGGCTGGCCCGTGCGCTCTCCCTATTTCCAACATTTCCACTGCGGGAGCATGCTCGAAGCGTGCGCCAAGGTCAGGTCGCCCCATGCGATCCACTGGAATTCATTCTGCTTCAAAGCGATGCATACACTTATTTATGGCACTTTCCCGAAAGACCCGAAAGGTTTGTCCCTGATAAAAGGTCTTGCAGCTCACGACCTGATACTTTTTCTGTTTCCACAGAAACCAAATCCCACCTCGTCGGACCCGATCATCTTCTTACACAGTGGTAAAATGTAGGTCTACCTAAAAATGCGATATCTTTGCAACGGGAAGGAGCAGTTACACGATCATTCCTACGTTAGCACCATGAGACATCAATATGAACACGATGATGAGATCGTTGCTGACAGATCACATGCAAAGAAAATATTCACATTTGTTCTCGAACTTTTGGGATGACCCACGTACTGCTTCTATCATACCATGTGGGTACTTTCCGTGAGTTTATGGAACCTACATTCAAGTTCAGCAACTATTTAAGGCTCTTTCAGACTCTGGATGAGGGAGGAGGTTTTATAATGCCAGTGAGATGACAATTCAACATTGAAACAACTTTGCAAAGCATAAACTTTTCTACATTAAGCTGTGTTTCATTTCCACATTGTGGCAACACGTTAAGTTGAAAAATCAACCTTTTCTTAGTGCTGACACGACGTTATTGTGCCGAATGGGTTGTGAATCGCCATATAAAAGGGTTAATTGGATGTTCATCTTAATGCGATGGATTCTTTATATCCTTTTCCGATTGAGAAAGATAACCTTTAACTAGAAGAGTTTTATGAACCTTGTGCTTGGATATTGAAAATGAGTATCCATGAGAACAGGTATAAATATGTATCCCTTCTGATGTTAAATATATATGACACTGAAAATGGTCTTTAGATGAAAATTTAATATTTAAGTGATGGTCTTATCCAACGGCCAGTGAAAGTACTACATGTACGAGGTGGGCATTAAGTATCAAGTTGTTCGACTGCAATTCATCTGATATGTGCATATGCTTCACACGACCCTGAAGATAAGCCAGTTCCTCACTTTCGGAAAACCCTCGAACAACTATCTTCAACGAACGAAAATAGGGACACTGTGTATAAGATCAATTATCAACCATCTCGAAAAATATCCTAATAGACCATTTTCCTATTTTCCCGTCAATTAACTCTCACAGCATCAATTATTTCATCCCTACGCCCGCTTCCCGACAAACATGGTTGACATTGGTAGCAAAAAGTGTTCAGGGTATATCTTTTGCGTGGTTAAATAGAAAAAGGGTTGAATGCTGGAACAACACTATTTCAAAGGGTAATCAATAGGGAAAGCAGCGCCTTTTACCTTTCTGCAACCCCTTCCGGCCACAAAATGCAACCGTCTCGTTTGCCTCTTGATCATAAGTCTTCAATAGAGCATCAACAGAAGCGAAATTTGGCATACTTCTTTCTCTCTAACCATAGAGTATCGCTCCAGCAAATTTGAAGCTCCATGTCCCCGGGATGGTGGAAATAGGTTAATCTCGCTTTTCGGAAGTGTAAATTTAATTATGGTATTTTTCCTTCCCCCCCCCCCCCCCCCCCCCCCCCCCCCCCCNGCACCATTTCATCATAAAAAATGATACTAGATGTCGTTAATTTAGGCTTAGCTCATGGCTCCGGTCCCTTCCTCCAGTGTTGCCGGATTTCGTGCCTTAGTTATGTCAGATTCATGGCTTCTTCGGCCTTGGTGTCGATGTCTGGATCTTCTGTTCTTTCAATGTACTGTATGTGATAATTTTGTGTCGAGTTCATTAGATGAGCTGAGATTGAAACGGTGGCTTGTTGCGGCCGATAGAGTTGGTGGGATGGGGAGATATCTCATTCAGGCATCAGTAAATAAACAGAATGGCGCCCAGGTTGTATTCCATACAACCCCCAGCAACCTCCATACAACATTCCAGGTTGTATTGCTTCCTAAAGGCATTTGCTTCTCAGAACTTGTCGAAACGGCTCGAGCAACTCTAGATAGGTCTAAACGTTCCTCATCCGCACTGAAATAGTTCATGAAACTCGAAATAGACCTCTAATCGGTCTAACGTTGCACGTAATCTCTTGAAAGGGCTATGAGAGAGTGCGTACACATGCATTTTGACCTAACGTTACTCGTCCTCGACGAGATCTCGAAGACCAGAGATTTATTCTTTTTGGCCTAATTCACGCAGGAAGTCGAGGATTAGTGTTTCTTTTGTATGAAGAAAGGTATTTTTCGGCCTAACCTGAAGACAGTCCGTCGGTTCGTCTTAGGCCTAATATTTGTGAGTGCCGAAGATAAGGAGGCGGGAGAATGTGCGGTTGGTGTTGAAGAAAGGGAATGCCATTGAAGAAATTTTTTCCAATTGCTAAACTAAAAAGTTTGTCAAACTGCTTCTGATTTATATCTCTTTCGAATCTTTCGATGCTCCATGGTATTAGAGAAAAATTACTTACCCTCTTGATTGCATGTATACCTAGAAGTTTACGTATTAATTCAGAATTTTTTCATATTTGACCTTCTTTAAATGAATTTTCAGTTAAAGCATTAAAAAGTCTAAATATGTAAACCGAAAATGAAAAACATGATTACTTTTCAAAAACTTCACCCACGTCATTAGCTTACAAAGCTTGACCAATTTTACGTAATGTGTAGAAGCTCTATTGTTGGGCGAGGAATTATTACAATTCATCTTGGAAATGAGTAGAAAGAGAAACTGGCAATGGATTAAATGCTAGTTCGCATGAGAAATCATGAATATTGGCTACGATAATTATTGTCGATATATTATGTTTTTCACCCACTCGCCATGAATCATACAGATGTGCCATGTGGATCTTGATCGATTGAACGTATTTGATTTTACCAAAGACGTATTCAAAATTCAAAAAGGGGAATTCTAAGGAACTTCATGACTAACGGGTTAAATTCGTAATATCCATTCGGATGTCGGTTTGTGCTGACACCATGTGTGAATGTGAATGTGAGGTCGTGTTCTTCTTCGTATTTTAGGATGGGGAATGTGAAGTGGGGAGACGCGTAACTTTCAGAGTTAATCTTTTCGGAACCCCGAAGGCACAAAACAGTGTAAAAAGCATCGAAATCAGGGTCTTCTGTATATTTAATAACACATTAGCAAGCTCGTGAAATGAGATCTAATTTTCATGGTGTGTTCGATGCAGAAAGGCAGGAGCTCCGGTGTTATTTCATGTCCTGGGAGCATGCAGCGCTTTTAATTTAAGATTAATATGCAACACAAAATGCAAGTGTCACTCTCCTTTCCACTCCACCAAGGCGTGTTTCCGATAGTACGTAAAGCTGTCCCGGCAGGCCTTAGGGAGGACGAGGTTGAGAACATGCGCAGGGACGAAAGCCAGATGGACGTCAACGTGATAGACCCACCGGACGAGGGTCTTCTCAGGATCGCCAGGCAGCGGAGAATAACGAATCCTTGGGGGTAGAACGTCGCCCTGTAAGACAAGAAATCCAGTTACTTGGTGATTTCCCGATTTTCTGTGGATTTGGAATAATACGTTTGCAAAATCTAATGAATGAAGGTACGGAATAGGCATGCAATAAAAATAGATGAAATGAAAGCATGAGTAGCATGTTCATGCTAGAGTAGCATGTTCAACTCGGAAACTGTAAGGATGATGTAGAAAACACGTGCTTGGGGAATGATAGAGATGCAATTAGGACACTCAAATGATATTTTACTGTAGAGTCAGGAAAGGGACATTTATGATCGCGGACCCCCAACGTCTCAATAGCCATTTCCTATAAACCTCAATAATTTTCATTTGCGAAACTCACACTCCTTTTTCCCTTGTTGATTCCTATTGGCATTAATTGTTGCGAGTGGTAGTTCGATAAAGAAAAGTTAATATCGGCTGTTTTTATGCAGACCCACTTCATTGAAACCAATTCATCTGTGACTTTCCCTTGCAACAAAGTACATCTGCAATCTTAGGAATTGCGGGAGACTCGAGATCACAAAAAACCTTGCTCTTCCGGTACTCAAAAGAAAAACGCAAAAAGGGATCAGGGTATATTTCATGAAGGGGTACATGAAAAAAAATTGATAGATGTCGTTATAGCGCAATCTCAAAGGGTTACTCAGATGTTTAACCTCTCCCCTGAATTAAAAATATCTAAATATATTTTTGATCTGGAGGGGATGATATTCAACCCTCTCAATGGGCTATAAACACGAGTGGGTTATGCACAAGAAAATGAATAAATATATAATTTTCTGGGGGCTGCATATTCATCCCCAATAAGAGAGTTAATAATAGGAGTCGATGCTGCCAAACACGCCTCAGGTTTTTACTTTTTAAGGGTTAAAAAGTAGAAAATTAATAGCTAACAGTGAAACACCACTTGCAAGATTTTTGCGTCATGTAAAGTTCCATGTTAGTCCACTAGATGGAGTTATGAAGCTACCGTTTTTCCCACAGTACATGGAATCCTCCTTCCGTCGAAAGAAATCTCCCTCAAGAAATCTCCCTCACAGGCATGTTGTCAAATAGTCCTTTGTCTCGCCTTGCCTCATTATAGGTGGTAATAAAAGCGGACAGCACCTCATTAATTATTCTCATGTTCGAGACAGATTCCAGGATCTTAGACCAAAAGAAGCTTGCTTTCCCAAACAGGAGTCTTTAAACACAAAAATAAGATTTTCAACCCGAATACCATTAAAAAAATATTACCATGGAACATTCAAATCTCATAAAGACATTGATTATCACATTGACTATTTCCTAAGTTGTTTTACCCAATGATTGGCTGAGGGTATTGGAATATGACATTAAGCTCGCGCAATGGGGTTAAGGGAAATCGTCTCGCCTTCATGATCACATGTGTACTAGGAAGGTAACATATTAACCCAGGTCCATTTATTATAACTTAATAAAAGGAAACTATAATTTACCTATCAAAAAGGCTAGATGTGTCACCTGCGAATGATAAATGAGCTGTAGTTGAAACACCTTTTAGAAGATAAAAACTAAATCATTTTTGCTAACTATTCATTCTGATTTTTTCCCAATGAGCTATGAATACCAGGAGAAATCCTATCTCCTTGTGATATCTCAGGTGCAACATTTCCCGGGAAATGATCACGATTTCATTAATAATAGTTGTGATGATGATTTATTCTTTTCCTAGGATTCGTGCAGTGAATGGGATTTCACTTCATTTGGAGACAAATGAGGGGCTTTGCCGTTAACTGGTTTGAGTTTGCAGACAAAAATCTAAAGGTGCTTCGATAAATTTTGATGTAAGACAGCCCGTGCCTCATTACGTCCCCCTTCCCAGGTCTCGCTACGATGGAATCGAACTGTAACGGACCTGACATATCGATTGGACGGAGGCAATGCCGGCCAGGAGGTGCTGGAGAAGGCGAGGTAGGTCGCATCGCCTTCCTTGTTCCAATACGCGATGGTAACGGCGTCCCTGCTCCAGATCAGGCCGTTCCCCATCGGGGTTGTCACTTGGTAAGTCAAGCGACATTTTGACGTGATATCCTGAAAAAAAAATTGGAAGAACCTGCTCGGACCTATAAAATGAGGGAAACGATCTGTGCAATGATTCATGTCTCACAAGGACGACTTCCGTGTGAAGAAAGTTCGGATTCCACTTTGGGTAATCTGGCACGTGATCCCAGTCTTCCCGGAAAACTACGTCAGCTGAGACGTTCACCACCGACTGCAATGCACAATGTCATGCCCATATACAACTCAGCAGACAGAGCAACAAGAGCGTACTGAATGTCTCGTTTGACTCTGGCAACGTTTGAGAATTAATTCGCAACAGGAACTAAGAAGCACTCAAGTCATAACATGCATGCAATTGCCGTCAAACGCCATCATCGTTCGTTTATATAGATGGTAATGCTGCTGGAACATTTACCTAGAACATTGAAACCTAAACCGTGGAGAACTGAAGCGAGAGATTGGAGAAGGTGTTCGAAATTCTCAATGTATTCGTCTAAAACCTTGGAAAACTCAGAGAAGTAATTGAAATCCTTCCATATTTGAACATCAAATGTGGAGTTATCGGCACTAATATCTTAATTTTTGAACTTTCGAATATTTTAAGATCTTAATTCTTTTTAGAATTTTTTGTTGTCCTGATGCATTTAGGAATCGTCATAATGAACGTATTTGTAGCACATCTCCTAGGTTCCCGTCTTTATCTTCGAAGAGTCTGTAGAGCACGTCAACCTTAAATGTTTTCTTGCCGCATTTCTTTGATCAAATTTCCATTTCTTTCCGCCAAATATAAGCAGTACATGATTGTCTGAATACTCTGCGATCGATTCTCGAACTCAATGTACGAATACATTTTCATATTCGAATATCTAAATCCGATTTCTTCAGTGCATGATTGGATTTCATGAAATACTCTTGCAAAGTGACGGTATAACCGTAATCAGGAAAAATGTTTTCCAAGAACCTGATGGAGAGAACAGGCCAGATACATTCAATTTCCAGACAGGAAATGTAAGGAACGAAAGTGTAAGAAGGGAAACTTATTGCGACGTTGTTTATGTATTTACTGTCCTCCAGAATAGACGCCCGACCCGAAGACGAAGCCGAATACGTAGGCAAAAGGAGGAAAACGGGGAAAACATCAAAAGAAAAAAAGTTTAAACTTCGCGTTGTAGCGGCCTTAATCACTTTCTGACGACGACCGATCCCACATTAGCGGGCTTGTGCAGACATCGTTTCCTCCCCTCCAGCTCACTTTTAATAATAAAGATTCAGATCTATGAGAATATCTAAGTATGCATCATTTCTTACGGATATTACTTTCATAAAACGCTGCTATCGCATTTGGTACTATCTCTTGGTGATCTTGTAGACTGGGAATTCTGGAAGATCACCTCCAGTTGTCACACTCATTCTCAGCTAAACGTGGTATGGAGATTTCTCACCTCAAGGTAAAACAAGATGATGCCACTTTCTCTGTTGTAAGCACTTGCGATTTTGATGACGTCATCGGACATCGTAGTCATTGGCTCCCAGGCAGTCCTGTCCAGAATCAGCTTGAATGATTCGTAAGTTTTTTTCCCTTGCTTAAAGTACGGCTGCAATTCGGTCTGGAAAAGGATTCAATTATTTTTAATTCGAGTGTGTCCGTAATCATAGAATGCTTCAGTTTCTAAGCGAAATTGGACTGATTCATACGGGAATGGGTTCATCTTCCAGCCGCAGCTGACTTCTGGATAAGTTATTGGACGCATCTTTGGTCCGGTGAAGTAGGAGGCCCTCTGATCATTAAGGCATCCAAATGCAACAAAAGGGTTTATAAGCATCTGAAGAGGGTAAGGATTTTGATTGAAATTTATTAAGTGGTTCTTGAGGAAAGGAAACGTATCAAAACAGGGCTGTAGATATATTATTTTAGCGTCATATGCTTTTTAACATTTTTTTTGACATTTGCAATGTCTTTCAATCATTTTCGGATTGGCAAACAGCTTTCCGTTCTCCGAAAATCATGACAGGGTTTAGAACTGACTATAACTCATTGGTTTATAGTTTTCAATGTGATGAGATCGACAGAAAATATAAGTCATGAATCATGAATCAAGTGTAAAGTTCTCCACGTCGGACGAAACAACAGTAGGTCTCTCGACACGTTCGGCGATGTTAACTTGGATGAGGCAAACGAAGAGAGAAATTTAGGAGTTTCTATCGATTAGGACCTCAAGTTTTCCTCGCACGCACAAGCGACGGTGGCCAAATGCAACAGGATTCTAGGTTACATTCGTCGGTCGGTTGCAAGTAGGGCATCTCGCGTTATTCTTCCGTTGTATGCGGCGCTGATAAGACCCCATTTGGAATATTGCATCCAGTTTTGGAGGCCTACAAATAAGGGCGATNAGACCCCAGTTGGAATATTGCATCCAGTTTTGGAGGCCTACAAATAAGGGCGATTTGTTGGCGTTCGAGGGAGTACAGAGGAGGGCCACAAAAATGATCGAGACAGGAATGATTTACTTGCAGAGTGGTGAACGCGTGAAATGCGTTAGATGACGAAGTAGTGGTTGCCCCGCGCTGTGACTATCTTTAAGAAGAAACTATATGTTTTCATGGACAGGCAAAAAGGTGGGGGGTAATGTTGACGTTAGGTACTAGACAGTAAGCAACTAGGATAAATAAATACAAATAACAAAATAACAAAAATAACAAAAATACAAATAACAAATAACAAAAACACAAAAATATTTAGCTTAAAGAGGGTTAGGCCTACCCTAAAATTAAGGAACGCTCGACCTCGACACGTGATATCGAAATGGGTGAAATCGCCTCTTGATATCACTAACTATCTTGAGTCTTGAAAATCTTGAATCTTGAATCTTCACTCTATGAATGAAAATAGTTTTTGCTATCAGGCTTCTTTGGCATGATAAACCGAATCAGCTCCTCTGGTTCATTTTCTTCTTGCAATTTCTCTGGTGATTGTTAGCAAATCATGCTCGGCAAAAAGCTTTAGGCTACCTCTGCCTCATCATCCACTTTTGCCATATAAACTTTATAATGGCTTGGCGAATTTAATGCGACGGAGCAAAAATATTTAGCAGTTTCTCGAATTAGCTGAGTACTCTGCGAGGAGAAAGAAACTTAAGGAGAGCACGAAGGGGGAGAATCCTGCAAGGCAACCTGGTTACAGAAGTGAGAATAAGATAATGGACTCCGAAGAGGATAGGATAATGGATTCCAAGGAGAGGAGAGGATAATGGGTCCTGAGGTTCCACTTCGATCCAATCATATCTGCAAAGGACATAGATTCTATTTAAAGTTACGTCTCCTCGAAATGCCATTACGAAGAACAGCGAAGCAAATCGAAGACTTACTTCGCAATATCGTGGCAGATTGAGCATACAAAAACCAATTATTCGATAGCAGCATTAGTATAACGTTGATGGAAACGGGACGATAATGAGTTTACGCCTTCGATATGAGGTCTTTCGCCCACATTGGAAACCTCGACGAGATAGGGTCGCGTAGTTCATTTTCCTAGGGATGCCTCAAAGAACACGATCAACCCGATAAAGTCACAGACATCACGAAACTACGTTGCCTGCAACGCTGAAGAGAATTTTTCGCGAATAATGGCATGCAGTAGCGCATAAAACTTACGCTAGCTTCTTCGAGGAGACGCTTACTAAAGGTGTGAGAGAGAGAAACACGAGAGCTGCTATTGTGGATCGTTGACATTTTATGGATTCCTGTCCTTTTCACCTTCCAAATGTAACGAAGTTTATGTAACAGCAGACTTTGAATCAGTCACTTAACGATAGACTCACATTTGTTTCATCCCTTTCCATAAAATTATAGCAAAACTTTTGCCCCGCCCAGCTCGAAAAGAGCGGCCGGTAAGCATGAGCAGACGGAGAAACCTTTGCTCGAGATCGGTGCGCTCAACGCGAACCAACTGCTACCCCGCCGATACGTTTCAATATAATTCGATTATTGCCTTCGTTTTACCGTTCATGAGGTTAAATGGCTGGAGATATATGAAAAATAAATATAGGACGTTTCAAGGATACATAGAAGGATACATAGTTTTTTTTTTCGCTGCTGCGAAAAAAAAACTTGGCCGTGGTATCTGCTATCTATTTAACCCTGTAGAATCTCAAAGAGCTGCGGTTTTTTTTGTCTTATCCGGTATGTGCCAGCATCATGAAAGCAATAATAATAAAAAGGACATTTACGCAGACGAAATAAAATCCAAATCTTTCTCACATAAAAGGAGATATGGGCAATCATAGTTGACGGCTGGCCCGACGCCAAGGAGAAATGTATCTCGTTGAATGGGGGATTTGGGTCCTAACAACGGAGAATATCTGGAGTAGATGAAAATGAGATGGCTGGTGTATGGTAAGGAAATTTAAAAAAGGATATCGCACGAGATGCAATTACACGTGTATTCTGACACGCTAACAGAAATAAACAAATATAAAGCAAGGGGCTGAAGACATGAAAGAAGGTGGAGAGGAATGGACGAGAGAGAGAGAATGGGAGGGGATTGGGATAAGACAGAGACCAACTACGAGGTAGTAATGAATCATTTTAAATCTGCAAATAGGAAATCAGAAGATGCCTGTCCAAAGATAAATGATAACATAACTTTCCCAAGTGATTCTCGGGCACACCTGCAATCGCACTATCAGGCAAGGCCGAGGCCACCACGCAGGGTCACGAGGAGAATCAAATCCAGAACGATCCAGTGATTTGCGTCGACAGCTTTTATCCTCATTTCATATTCCTCGAGTCTAAACAAAGCCA